GAGCCCAAAATGAGTCCAGTTTGAAACTAACTGGACCGTAATCAATCCAAATAAAATCTTTAAATTGAATGAAGGAGCCACTTCTAGTCAAAAGTTAGCTTTAGAGTCAGCTAGTTTTAGTCTTTTAAATAATGGACCTACCACATCACGCAACCAAAGAGTACCATCGAAGGAAGGTCGCCAAATTACAATGCTTTTGTGTGTGTGTGTGTGTGTGTGTTTCTTCTTCTTCATTTTTTTCTTTTTTTTTTCAAGTAATGACTTGTTTTGGGGGGCAAAGAAAGAATACAAAATGTTAGGGTGACTGGTGGTCCCCAAGGCATGATGAACTCAAATGGGCCCAAAAGCTCCTCCACAGAAACCCAAATGGGAGACAACATGAATTTCCTAAGGGCTCCTTGTCCCTCACTTCTAGGACTCATCCAAAGTGTCTTGATCGAATTAAATATACAAGGAGGTTTAAGTTCAGCTCATGCAAGTGTGGCTTGATTCGTAAATGGGTTTTCTTTGTACGTTATTAATAAGGATGAAGATTAAATTCTTGAGAGAGATTAGAAGGCATAATTATTTATGAATTTTTTAATTTTAATTAAAATAGTGTGAAAGATAAATTTAATATAATAAATGAAGATTAATGGATGATAATGTCACCTCTCTCAAAACTAAGTGATTGGATTAGTCCATGGAGCCTTTGCTTCCACAAACACAAAAGAAAGTTGAAGCTTTGTTGATCCAATCATGGCAAAAACTAGTTATTAAAACTTAAATTATTAGCTCAAGAGTTTTGCTTAGGTAGTGGGGAATTTAGTCAATCTCTCCTCCACTACCCTTGTTCCTAAAAGCTCTTTTTTGCTTTATATGGAAGAGTATTTTTTGGAGGCTGTGTCAATCCTAAATATAAAATCAAAAGCAAGTAGCCAAAGGACTAAAGAGGAATCCACACAAATTAATCATCAACTACATAACCATCCACGCTAACTTAGATCAAATTTATCATATTTATACAACCTTAGACATGACCCACTAAGTTTTTATGTTAAACTTTGATTGGAGAAAATAAACCTAATTACAAGCGGAATCAATCATTAACACACACTAACCATATAATTACAACACTACACTTCCATGTGCTTAATTAAAATTGAGTTAGCAAGTAAACTATGTATATGATATCATGATTCTTTTTTTATGAAAAGTAAATACATTTAGATTATATTAAACTAAAACCACCATAAGCTGAAAATCAAACTCACCACCTTAAGGTGGGGTCTTGTCCTCCACCACTAAACCCGAGGGTTCATTGACAATATGATATCATGATTTTGACCGCTAATTTGCAATGACTTGTTTAATGCCCAATCAAAGCTTAGATTAATTAGTAAATAAATGCATTTTGTAAATAAGATTTACCATTTAAGTTTTTTAAGTTAATATTTAAAGAAATTAATTTTTATTAATGTATCAAATTAATATAAAAATATATTACTAAAATCTCTCGTAATGAATTAATGTCGAGATATATAAAAATTAATTAGAGATATTCTGATCATATATAAAAAAAATACTTTATTAAAAAAAAAAAATGAAGACAACTCCAGCAAAATGGTCCCATGTTCTCCAACCCTGCCCCAATTGTACACAACACACGATCCTTAACCATGTTCCTATCATACCATCATCGAATTCCATATATATAAATCCACCTTTCTTCTCTTCTCATGCACCCTAAGTCCCTATCTCCCCGCAACAAAGATGGAGAAGAGAAGCCAAAGGTCCAGCTCTGGCGAGATATTCTCCTTCCCCAGCACCCCAATTCAAGAATCATCAGATTTTGAATTTGACTGCTTCACTCCAGACTCACCCTCTCTAGATCCCTACAAAGACTCTCCAGCCGATCATCTGTTCTTCAACGGCCGCCTCCTTCCTCATGCTTTTCCACTGCCACCGGCAAAATGGAGCTCTTCTTGTGGCACAAGCCGGACAAGCAGCGTCAGCAGCAAGGACTCATTGTCGTTGATGTCATCAAGGAGCAATAGTACTAACAGCCGAAGCAGCAGGTAAATTAAAAACACGTTGAATTATGAAATTGTAGCAGAGAGACGCTGACAATTTTGTACTGACAATTTTTTTCGCTATAAAAAAAAACTAACAGCTGCAGTAGCAGTGCGAGAACGAGCTGGAGTGATGGGTCAGACAGGAGGCTGTTGTATCATTACGGAAGCAGGAATCGAGCACACAAGGCCATGGGGGCGAGCAAGATGGTTACGGTTCAGCTGTATGGGGATTCTCAGAGATGGCAGTACATAACGCCTGTAGTGTCGCCAGGGTTAAAATGTGAAGGGTCAAGGAGGAAAAATAATAATAATGGGGTGGCCAAAAAACAGGGCAGTGACAGGGAGAAGGGCGGAGGGCGGCAAGCAGGGCCTTGGCGGAAAATTTTGAGGTCGTTTTTGTTGGTTTGTAGAGAGTGTCATGCTATGGAACCTTCACCTCCACGGGAAGAAGATGTGCTGCAAAGAAGTTTGAGTTTACGATGATAATTATAGTATTGTCCTTTGAATCTGTGTCATTTTTTTTTTTTTTAAAAAAAAAAAAAAAAAAAAAAGAAGAACATTACAACTTCTTGGAGTCTTTTGTGATGATTTAAGAGATGAGTTAATTTTTGTTGGGGATTTTGGGTACATTATTTCTTGCCAAATGTTGGAAATGTGAAAGTGCTAGGAATTGGAGCCTTCGGAAATACTATTGATCTATTTTGTGAAAATCATGGCAGGACCATTCATAAATGTTGTAAGAATTGACATATTTTGATACAAAAAGATTGTGGAGTGAATTGTTTCCTTTGATCATTGGATTTCCAAGAATTTGGGATATAATTTCTACGTACATGTCTAAAATATCATTTATTTAACACCGTTAGTAAAATATTATAATAATTGTATTTAGAATCTGAAATCAAATATTCATATTCAATAAATAAGAAATTTAAGTAAAAGATAAAGGTCATATTAAATAGTGATATGTTACTTTGGCTAAAGAAAAAAACAGATCATATTTAAGAAACAGCATGATTAAAACATAAATCATAATTTAGTAGCAACTAACCTCTGTTCCATTCTTGTGATGTATTTTCAAGAAGTTCATGAACAATACCGAAAAGAGCATACCCAACTAGAATTTTCAATTTTTGGATTGAGCTGGATTAGTTTAACCTACAATGAACCAAAATGGAACAGGGAATCCCAAAGACAAACTACATGATGCGACTATGATTTCCATGGAAGAGTCCCTTCCTTGGAACTGAAGTAACAGGTTTGAAGAATTGAAACCAACCCAGAACAATGTCACATGTACATTGATGGTTGCATTTCCCTAACTCTTTTTGACTTTATTTTATTTGAATCTTGGGTTTGAGGCTTTCCCCGACCCCCTAGATTTGACTTGCTTTGGATCCATTAACTCATTTCTGAATTTCTCTGTATTTGTGTTCAATGTCAGGGAAACTTAAGGCACACAGTTTAGTTTTTCTTTGCTTCCAATTTGAACAAGATTAAAAGAAAATCCACTTGAGAAAACTTACCTTAGCATAGACTACAACAAATGGGTACAAAGTTCAGAAAATGGATTGAAGAAAAGGAAACACTCGATGTAGAAAGAAAAACATCAACGCAAACACAAGGAACTTTAGCTTCTAACGAACACAAAAAGCCTTTTTCCTAAATACAAATTGAAATCCCTTGCTCTCTCTTGTACAATCCTTCTTGAGTTCACTCCATATAGGTCTGCATGACATCTGGGTACATCCCTGCCTCCGAGTTCCTATACTCCACCTGTTGGTGTTGATGATGATCAACTGAAGTCGAGGATGATGATGTAGCCATTCTTGCAGGCAATGTTATGCTTCTCTTGAACTTGTTTTCCATCTTTCTCACGTTCTCTGGATGACTGTCCAAGCTCAAGAACTCATTTGGGTTTGCTGTGCTATCTGAGTTTTGATTTGGATCCTTTCCTTCAAGGATGAGAGGATTCTGGTCTGGTTTGCTTCCTAAGCTCTCAGGGTTGAACAAGAGTTTGGAATCCTCAGTTCGTCCGGTTAGAGCATGGAAGAAAGACAACCCATTAGGCCATTTGATGTCATTTTCTTGTTCTCCAGCTCCCATCATATCTTCCATCCGGGTGTCAGATGAATGAGGGAGAAGAAACATATGAGTCTCATCTTTGGCTGGTGGAAACCCAAGTCTGGGTGGATTCTGGAAATTAGGTGAAGAAAGCATTGATGCCACCGGTGGCAATGGCCTCTGGCCCCAGTTGAAGAGGGGCGGTGGAGGCCTTGTTGGAATTGGGGTTTGCTTGGAAGTCATTGTGGATGAAGAAGGAGCATTATTTCTATTTGAGGAAAACAGCTGGGAGAGATAGAAACCAGATTGGTACCCAAGGGACTCAAATGTATGCCTCATTCTCAGCACAAAATGAAGGTCTTCTGGTATCTAAGAACACAAATAACATCTCATCAAGATCAAAATCCTCAGTTATCATAAAAAATGGATACCAAAAATTGACTAACAAGAAGTTGTAACGAAGGGAAAGAACATTAAACTTACAATCTTGCAGGAACCCAACTGCAAAAGACCATGGCCAGCTTGAATCACAGCAATGGTCTGGTCAATAGAGTTAGAGAATCAAAATCACCAAAGTCTTAAGTGCTAGAAAAAGGCGGAAAAAGGAGAAGAAAACCAAATTAGATAAAAACAATTAAGATGAAACTATTTCTGAGCTAACCTGAATTCCTGACTCAAATTGATCGGTCCATTCAGGAGGAAGCTGCAATTTAATGACATTCACAAGGGAAGTTTACCATCAATTATAAATATATCATCCAACTACAACAACAAAGCAGATTGAAATATTTCCCCACACCAACTTTTTCCTTATATTATTACATCTAAGGATTTCCGATATTGCAGATCATTCATCCCCAAATTTCTAAATAGGTTAACACCTCCCACCCACACGCCCCCCC